GGAAGTGAAGCAGCAGATGAAAAATACGCATGTCTCGCCTCTCTCTCCTGGCAACTCTACCTTTCAAATCAATAACTCAATCTTTAAGGTGCTGATGCTGTGGTGTACCTGGTAAAGCTACTTCCTGCAAGGCCAACATCCCATATGGGTACTGCTCCACGTCCCAGCTGCTCCACTTACTTCTAATCCTGCCCCCCACTAAAGGCCTAGGAAAGCAGCAGCAGATGGCCCAAGTGCTTGGGCCCCTGCACCAATATGGGAGACCCAGAAGAAACTCCTGGCTTCTGGCTTCAGTTTGCCCAGTCCTTGGTCCTTGCAGCCATTTGGGCAGAAAGCCAGTAGATGGAAAGCTTATTTTTCTTCTCTTTCTGTAACTCTTAATAAAATAAATCTCTACCTAAATTTTTGAAAAAAAAGTGAGGGACTTCAGAAGGCTTGAATGATTCCAAGACCCAGAAAAGAACCATAGTGCACCCTGCCTCCTAAATTTGTACGTTTAACATCTAAGTTCTTGTCCTCATTTCTAAAACGACTTTCCAGTGAAAAGCGTCTCAAAAAAACTTCACATTAATTAAACCCAAAGTCACTGGGCCTGGGCTCCAGGAGTTCCCAACAAGACCATGTTGGAACCACCCAGTCAATACCACTTGTGACCTGGCTGGTCCCTGACATGCCAGTTCGTGCTGTAACACTGCCCGCTGCGTGGGGGCCACCTGTGCTGGCCTCAGCAGTCAGGTGTCCAGCGGGCGCGGCCTCCTGCAGCTCATTAAGTCATTTCGGTGTGACCCCTGCCGGGCACTCCCCCGCCCCTGTGAGTCACAGGTCACTCAGCCCTTATTTGTCCTGCCCTGGCAGCCTCGGAACATAGCAAACAGAGGCTTGGCTGCCTGGCCACCCACCTGAGGACAAGCAGGAGCAGCCTGATGACAAACGACCCAGCCAGGTAAACTGAGAAAGGGGCAGGAGTGAAAGAGAAGCCGGAGTCGTGGCTTTCTCCGCACACACGCATGCCGAGTTCACGCACACAGCCTGGTTGGCTGCTTTTCCCCGAGCATGGAACCCCACCACCTCAGTCGCCAGAGGCCACACTCTTGAGACAGCCCCCCCACACTTACTACTGTACTCTCCTCCACAGCCCTCATGACCAGCTCATGGAAAGATGGGATTCAAAGTTTCTTGTGGTGTGATTACTTCTGAAATCCTTACACAATTTTTCTTTTAAGGGCAAAGAAAGCAAGCGTCAGAGAGCACGCTCCCAGCCCCTGGCTCACTCCCCAGCCCTCACAGGGGCTGGGCCAGGGCAGCAGTGGGGCCAGCAGCAAGGGGGCTCCGACAGGAGCCGGAGTTGGGGATCACGCAGTCTGTCACAGGATCCAGGATGTGACACCTGCTCTCCTGTGGACTCCTGAAGCTCTCCCTCGCCTTGTTTCCTACGACAGATTTCTCTTTCCATGGCCGGATTAGTGTCTCAGACTGTTCTGGAACCACACTTCCTGGTCAAGAAGGAGACTGGGCTGTCGCCGGCCAGGGTCAAGAATAACAGAGGTGCTGTGAGGTGGGGGAAGGGTAACCAGCCACCTCCAGCTGTACTGATCTCTGACCTATAGCGTCACAACTCGCCACAGGTGCGGGGAGGAGGAAGGGAAAAAGAGAACTGAGTTACAGCTGACTGAAGACCTGCTGGGAAGCTGACTGCTTACACAGGGTCCTGGGAGAGCTAAAACTAACCCCGAGGAGGACCAAGAGGACGGAGGCTACGGCCAGCTGGGCCCTGCCTGAGAGGCCTCGGGCGCCACGTCAAACTCCAGTGGAAATGCCCAGAGTGGGAGCGGCACCTGAGCGTGTCCTGGAAGGGTCTGCTAAGGCTCCACTGCCAGCCCTGTGCTGCTCCTCCAGGATCTAACACCCCAAGGAGGGAGAACAGAACCACACAGATCCACAGTCACCCAAAAAAGGCTTCTTGTGACAGCGGGGCACATACAGCAGCTGCTGGATGCCATCCACCTCCTGATACTAAATGGACGGGGGTCGCACTCCCCACCCCCAGACGGACAGAGCCAGTGAGGTGAACAGCCTGGGGGCAGGGTGCTCCGGAGGCCCTGCCAGGGAGGCACCTGCCTGGGAAGGCAATCCAGGCCAAGCCCAAAGCCAAAGTCTGACCCTAAAAATCCCAACTCAGGAAGCCATTAGGCACATCAAGTTAGGGGCAGGCCTCCTGGGAACGCAGTTTCCTTTGCGGGGCACAAGACCAATCCTCTCCAACCCCTCCACGGCGGTCCCGTCAGGACCTGGCTGGCCAAGACCCATGTGTCTGCCATATCCACTAACGCCCCTAACCTGCCAGCGCAAGCCTCGCCAGCATGGGCCGCCATACATGCCAGGGGCACTGTCACAGCAGCCCAGAGCCAGCACTCAGCCCCACAGCCTACTGCCCTTTCTCCAACTCCTGGGCCCTCAGGGGCTCAGGACCTACCTTCAGCAACATCTCCCATTTCCTCACTCTCTTCTCAAAACAGTTTTTTTCCTTTAAAGATTTAGCTATTTAATGGAATTCAGAAAGACTGATCCCTCATCTACTGGTTCACTTCCCAGATGGCTACAGCACCCAGGGCTGGGCCAGGCGGAAGCCAGGAGCCCAGAGCACCCAGGCCTCCCCCACGCACTTGGGCATCTCCTGCTGCCTTCCCAGGAGCATAAGCATGGAGCTGGAACAGAAGCAGAGCACTCAGGACTGGAACCAGTGCACCAATACGGGATGCAGGCATTGCAAGCAGCAGCTGAGCTCACTGTGCCACGCCGCCCACCCCTCACTTTAACACTGTTTATTAAAGAATATGTTTACTCGGAAGGCAGAGAGACAGAGTGTTGGAGATCTCCTGTCTGCTGGCTCACTCCTTAGATGGCCACAACAACTGGGGTTGGAGCAGGCCAAAGCTGGGAGCCAGGAGCTCCATCATCCACTGTCTCCCAGGTGCAGGGCAGCCAGGACTGGAACCAGGCACTTCAATGTGGGATGCAGGTATCTCGAGCAGCAGCTTAACCTACCACACCACAGCCCCTGACCCATCCCCAACATTCCTGCCACCTTCCTCTCTGGACTGGCCCCTCCAAGGGAAGTAGCTTCCTTGCTCTGGGGTGCTACTTCCCAACCATCTTCCTCTCCCTCCCGAGACCCCCGGTGGTCACGCTGCATCCTGGCCCCTTGTGCATCATGAGCTGGCCCAAGGCACGTCCCCCACCCCTCTCCTGACGTCAGCTCCGGGCCACTCTCCTCACCACCCTCGGTGCCTGCAGCTACAGAGGTGACAGTGGGCTGTTTGCCGTCCTCCCTCACACACTCCTCGGCCTCCATAACCGCAGCTTCCACGGCACCTCGCTCACTTGCATCTCACCCCTTACCCTCACCCCGGCTTATTTTTCTAGTTTATTCCCTCCTAGAAACTCCACTCCGGGAGTGGGCTGGCCCTGCCACCTCTCAGGCGCCTCAGCCACCGTCTTCAAAGGTTGAGTTTCTCCACCAACCGTCCCATCTCTCCCTTGCACACTTTCTTTGTTCATTTCGCCTCGGCTCCACTGGCCTGGCGGCACCTGCAGCTCCAGACAAGTGGACAAACACCTCACCCTCGGCTGACCTTGCTCTGTGTGAAGACCAAAGCAATTGGAACACGGAAAAAAAGCAAAACTGTCCTCAGCTTAAGCGGTCCCAGCTCCAAACAAACAGAGCCAGATAAGAACTTCCCCAGAAAGGTCAGGAGGTCCCGCCAGTCACAGTGGGGCCAGCAGCCACCCTGGGCTTTGCCCCAACACTCACGTGTGACCTCAGATAGACTTGTCCAGTTACCACCACACTGGACTTCCCGGATGAAAGCCCAGAGCTCAGGGCCAACACCAGCTGTTGTCCCAGCCAGGCAACAGCTGGGGAGCAGGCCCTGCCACCACCTCAGACCAAGCCCTGGCCTGGTCACTTCAGTTCCGGGCTACTCCATATGCGATCCAGGACCAGCCACATACACCTGCAACACAGCAGGTGCTGGCCCACCTGTGAGACCTAGTTGGGAGTCCTGGCTCTGGCCTGACCCAGCCCCAGCTGTTACGGCCATGGGTGGAGGAGTCTTATCCGTGCGTCTTCCTCCCAGTCACTCAGCCTCTCAAATAAAAAAAAAAAAAGGTAAAGACAAAATTAATCTATGTGAAAAACCCCAGAAGGGCCTCCAGAATGCTGTTTGACACCTGGGTCCTGATGCTGAAGCCCTGGAGCAAAGGGGCAGGAACACTAACCATCCCCCTTCCCCCCAAAGCTGCCAGAGCCGGTGACCTGACCAACACACACACACACTTCCTGCTTTCCCTCTGGGCTGGCAGAGGAAGCCGCGGCCCAGTCCTCCAGCTCACTTTTCCCTCAAAAAACCCACCAAGCTCCTTGGCCTTTCAAGGCCTCTGTTCTCCACGAGCTCCGGGGAGCCCCTGCTCTCCCCCCAACGCACCTCCGTTTCTTTGTCCTAGGTGACACTCCGACGTCACCTCTTTCCTGAGAAATCTCCCACCCACCCCGGCCGCCGCCAGGGGATCCAGTGAGGCCCTCCCTCCCCTGTTCCCTGGGGTCCCCCCACCCCAACCCCAGAAGCCAAGCTCACAGCCTGAACGCAGGAACCTGGCTGTGGCCACAAGCTACGTCAACCAAGCCGGGACCTTGGAAAATTTCCCTTGAACCCCATGAATTTCTCTTTCAGGAGGACTGAAGCGGCGATGGGTGTAGGAACACGGGCGCCGCCCTCTCCACCCCCTTCCAGCCTAGCCCACTACACGCTCGCTTTTCTGCTTTTTTTTTTTTTTCTTTTTCCCTTGGATCTCGCTGGGCAACCCCGAACGCCGCTGCCCAGAACCCAAAGCCGATTAGCCGAGAGGGTGACGCTGCCAACAGGTGCCCGACACCCCGACCCCCTCCGCCCGTGGCCTCTCCCCGCGGCTGACCCCCTCCGTCGTCGCCCCCCGGCCCTCACCGTGGATGCTCCGTCCTCCGCCGGCCGCCTCGGCCCGGCAGAGCAGCAGCGATGCCAGCAGGGCCAGCAGTGCCCGCCAGCGCCTCGGCCCGCACGGCTGCGCCATGGCCGGCTGCGCAGGGACGCCCGGGCGACGCCTCGAGCCGCCGACCGTTGGGGTCTCGCGATCAGGTGCGGGAAGACCCTGCCCGCGCACGCGCACTGGGAGGGACGCCCGCCCTCAGTCGAGGGTCCGCGGGGTGTCGCCGGGCCTCGGGGAAGGCCCTTTCTCCAAGTTTCGGTCCTGAAAATGCCGCGAGGCGTTTCGGGCCCGCTCCTCGCTCGCCCGCTGGCGCCCCTCACCCCTCAGCGACTCTCGAAGACTCGTTACAGGCCCGAGCCGTGCCGCACCCTTAAACAATCCCGGGAGTCACCAAAGCCAATGGCGGACGGTTGGAAGACGCGAGAAGGTGGCCGGCCAGGCGGGGGGCGGGGCGCACCTGGCGAGGCGGAGCGTGCAGGGCGCAGGCGCAGCGCACGGGTACCTGCGCGGACGCGGCCCCGCCCACGGCGCACCTGGGCCCGCCCCGGGGCGTGGCTTTGGCTGGCCCCGCCCTGACTGAGCCTGACCGGGTTGGGGACGCCAGGTGCTTACCAGCTAGAGCCAGCAGGAGCTCATTTCTCCAGCGAAAGTGGAGGCAGTCAACGAGATGATTCAATACTGCATTCAGTGCGACCCGCGCTGTGCCACGGGGGGTCGAGCTGCTGCACCTTCGACCCTGACAAAGCAGCCCCATTTCCGGTCCCAGCTACTCCACCTGCTCCTGCACCTGTGAGAGCAGCACAGTACGACCCGCTGAGCCCAGGCCTGGTTGGTGTGGCCATTTAGGAAATGAAGGAACAGATGGAACAGCTGTCTCCCTCTCTCACCCTCTGTAACTCTGCCTTTCAAATAAATAAATAAATCTTTTAAAAAAGAGAAAGATAGAATGCATTATTATTGAAAACACGGAACAGGCTGGCGTGTGGGGTCACTTTGGCTTCCCACATGAGGTGGCTGAGTTGTTGAGTCTCTCCCAGCTTTCTGCAGATGCACTCCGGGGTGGGAGGAGGGTGGGGACAGGAGATGGCTCAAGTACTTGGGTGCCTGCCCAGCTCCAAGCTCCTGGCTCCAACCCAGCTCAGCCCAGAATGTTTCAGGCATTTAGGGAATGAACCGTTGCACAGAACATCTCTGCCTTTTAACTGAAATGCAACTTAAAAAAAAAAGGAGGGCCAGGTGCGGTAGCCTAGTGGCTGAAGTCCTCCCCTTGATCACGCCAGGATCCCATAGGGGACCGGTTCTAATCCCAACAGCTCCAGTTCCCATCCAGCTCCCTGCTTGTGGCCTGGGAAAGCCGTCTAAGATGGCCCAGGGCCTGGGACCCTGAACCTGCATGGGAGATCCAGAAGAGGCTGCTGGTTCCTCGCTTTGGATTGGCACAGCTCAGGCCGTTGCGGTCACTTGGGGAGGGAATCATCAGATGAAAGATCTTCCTCTCTGTCTCTCCTCCTCTATGTATATATCTGACTTTGCAATAAAAATAGCTAATTTTTTAAAATCACTTTAGTTTGAAAATAATGAAAGAGAAAGAAAACAAGCCCATTTAACCATGCAGTGAGGAAACCTCGCTAGGAGCTGTGATGGAAGATCTCAGCTTCCTTGATCCGGACAATGAGGCTCTGACAGCACGGGAGGGGCCGGGCAGCCAGTAATCACACACACACACACACACACACACACACACACACAGAGAAAGGTCCCAAGAGAGTTGGAGACAGCCTGGAGTGTTCGGGATCCCAGGCCACTCCCTTGGCGCAGCCTCCCTCTGCCTAAAGCTACCTATCACAGCAGTGTGTTCACATTGAACAGCTGGACTCTTGTACTGCAGTGGGGTCCTGCAAGGTCAAGAGATTGAGACTAAAGACAAATAGCCCCCTGGGCTGAACTTTCCCCTGGCCCCATCCCCTCCCCCTAAGCACATTTACAGAGACAAAAAGACAGAGAGATCTTCTATCCACTGATTCACTCCCCAGAGAGCTACGCTGATCTGAAACCAGGAGCTTCTTGCAGGTCTCCCATGTAGGTGCAGGTGCCTAAGAGCTTGGACCATCCTCCACTGTTATCCCAGTCCATAAGCAGGAAGCTGGATTGGAACTGGAGCAGCTAGGACTTGAACCGGCTCCCAGGTGGGATGCCAGCCTTGCAGGTGGAGGATTAACTTGCTTAATGGGCTTTGTTTCTACTTCTACAGTCAGACTTTATTGCCCGAATTAGCCCAAGTACTCCAGTGGGCTGAACAGTGACTGACAGAGCAGAAACAAAGTAACCAAACATGATTGATCATTCCAGAGTGACTCCTCAGAAGGTGGGGCAGGAAGAATGAACAATAGGAAATAACTGACTCCTTAAGGTCTGGTGGTGGCCAGTCCTCCTTTTGTGTAGAGACTATAAGCTCCCTGGCCTGGCCCAGTCCTGGCTATTGTCAACCATTTGGGGAATGAGCCAGTGGTACCCAAGTTCTCCTTTCCGTGTCTCTCCTTCTTTTTCTGTTACTCTTGCCTTTCAAATCGATAATGCTTAAAAAAAAAAAAAGATTTATTTATTTTTATTGGAAAGTCAAAGTTACACAGAGAAGAAGAGGCATCAAGAAAGATCTTCCGTCCACTGGCTCACTCTCCAAACGAACACAACTGCCAGAGCTGAGCTGATCTGAAGCCAGGAGCCAGGATCTTCTTCTGGGTCTCCCTCGCGGGTGCAGGGTCCCAGGGTTTGGGGTCATCCTCTATTGCTTTCCCAGGCCACAGGCAGCGAGCTGAACAGGAAATGAAGCAGCCAGGATAGAAACCGATGCCCATATAGGATGCCAGCACATGCAAGGAGAGAATTTAGCCACTAGGCCACCACACTGGGTCCAATCATACTTTTTTATTTGTCATGATTGATTGATTTGAAAAAAATAATAATAACCACAAAGAAAGAAAGCCTCATTCCTACAATTGCAAACAGAGGAAATTTTTCCCCAGTCAAGCTTGTAACGAGGCTGCAGCCTGGACTGAGCGCAGACGGCAGGCTGGGAGGCCTTGGTGCACACTCCCCAGCCACGACAGGCCTGGCCCCAGTCCAGGGCCCCAGTCCTGGGCTGCTCCCTTCAATTCCTACAGCCAGGATTCCTCATTGTGCCCTAGGCACCAGCAGCAAGGGCTCTACACACACTGTTTGCTGGGGACGCTGTCCTACCCATCTCTAAGGTTACAGTTGAAAGGTGGCACCCCTTGGTGTTAGATCCATTGTTTAGAAAGCAGACCAACTACCGGTTTCCTCCCACAGTGGGTGGGTGCTTTTATCACTGGCACTTTGGAGGACTGCCAACTCTCATAAAATGAAGGCTAAGGCCACTTTCCAGTCCGTTTTTATCAAATTCTCACCACCTTTTTACCCATCTCCAAGGTGCCCATAGCTCTCTTGTCACCTGACTTGGGTACACGAATAATAAAACAGACCCCAAAGACACTATAGTCACCATTAGGCACAGCAACTGTCGCAGGTAAACCAGAGGCGGGCTGGGCATGAGAGCTGTGACATGAAATAGGGTGTCCAGAGACAGGTGACAACTGTGGGACCAATTCTGATATGACCCTGGGTACCAGTGCCATCCTGACAGGGGGGCCTATGGACACGAAGGGAGTGATGGAGGGGAGCGGCCGTGCTGGACACAGCGTTGCTAAACCAAACAGCAGAGCCTTCAGTCTCAGGGCATTGGGCGTTATCGTTGTTTTAAATCACTGTCTGCCCAGCTGGGTGGAACTTGCTATCCCATGATTCTGAGTCCCGCTCCTTGCGTACAGCTCACGCTAGCCCGTCATGCGTCTGTCTTTGTCTTGCACAAATGTCTCTTTGGAGGTTTTTTTTTTTTTAGATTTATTTATTTAATTGGAAAGGTAGATATTCAGAAAGGAGGAGAGACAGAGAGGAAAATTTTCCATACGATGATTCACTCCCCAAGTGACTGCAACGGCTGGAGCTGCATCTATCTGAAGCCATGAGCCAGGAGCTCTTCCTGGTCTCCCACGTGGGTGCAGGGTCCCAAGGCTTTGGGCCATCCTCCACTGCTTTCCCAGGCCACAAGCAGGGAGCTGGATGGGAAGCGGGGCTGCTGGGATTAGAACCGGCTCCCTTATGGGATCCTGGCGTGCATGGCAATGACTTTAGCTGCTAGCCCACCGCACCAGACCTGGTATTTGCAATTTTTTTTTTCTCCCATCCAACTAGATTGTCCCTTTACTTCTTACAAACCATGTATTTATTTATTTGCAAGGTAGAGTCAGAGAGAGAGCAGGAGCGAGAGAGCTCCCATGCCTTGGTTCCTTCCCCAGGGCTGGCAGGGTCAGGCCAAAGCCAAAGGCCGAAGCTTCTTCCGGGTCTCCCACGTGGGACCAGGGGCCCAGGTACCTGAACCACCCTTCACTGCCTTTTCAGGGGCTTAGCAGGGAGCTGGCTGGGAAGTGGAGCAGTCAGGACTCCTCTGACTCTCACGGAGGCCCGGAGACCTGTCCCTCCGCAACCCTTGGGTAAGCTGTGTGGACTGCGTTTGGTGTCCCTGCTGCAAAGACGGCGACTTGCAGAGCCCTGGGCTTGGCCGGGGTGTGCAGTGCACTGCGGTTCGCTGACCGCCGCGAGTGACCAGAGAGGAGTGAGTGGGTGTGGGGTGGGGGGTGCAAAGGGATGCGTGTGTGACCGAATGAATGAACCAGCAAACCGCGGCTCCACATCGGGGCTGCCTCCGCGGCCGCCAGAGGGCGTGGACAAGGCTCGGCCCCGGTCAGTCCGGGTCCCCCGCCCCGTGAGATCCAGGCCCGGGAGTCCCAGCCGCGGCTCTCGGACCCCGCCCATACCTGGACCACGAGGGCTTGCAGCCTGCGCTCTGCAGGAAGGGAAGCTGAGGCCAGGGCGTGCGGGGTGGGCGTGCGGGGTGGGCGTGCGCGGAGGGCCCGGCCACCCCCATCCCCACTCCCGGGGCCAGCCCGAGCTCCCGCCCCCGGCCGGCCCCGCCCCGGTCCGTCAGAGGCCCCCGGGACGCGCGCACCGCCCAGGCGCACATCGCGGCGCGGGGTCGGCCGGCGGAGGCGGCGGCATGGCAGCGCAGCGGCTGGGCAAGCGGGTGCTGAGCAAGCTGCAGGCTCCGTCGCGGGCCCGCGGGCCGGGGGGCAGCCCAGGAGGGCTGCAGAAAAGGCACGCGCGAGTCACGGTCAAGTACGACCGGCGCGAGCTGCAGCGGCGGCTGGACGTGGAGAAGTGGATCGACGGGCGCTTGGAGGAGCTGTACCGCGGCAGGGTGAGGCGGGGCGAGGGGCTTGGGATGAGAGGTGGGGGATCTGGGCTGGGCAGACCCTACGCGCCGGGGGTCCCCGGGATGACTGTAGCTGCTGTGCGCTATGAGGGCACCCCCACGTCTCGTCTTTCAGCTTGGCCAACTGTGCTTGGGACACCTTACTTGTCCCACGCGCACACTTACGTGTCCAGTCTTTCCTCCAGGGGCGAGGCAGGTGAAGAGACCACGTTGGGGTCAAAGCCACAGGAGGTTGTTGACCGGCAGCCTGGACCTCACGTCCTTGCTCTTCTGGAGTTGGAGAAGGTTGTGTGACCTTCTCGCCCTACTCCCACACCTCCCCCAGGCCACAGGAGGAAGAGAAAGGGTGGGGGAGGGGAGTCTGGAAGCCAAAGGGACTTGGGACAGGGACCATACATGCCCGTGGCCAGCCACACGCAGATGCACAGCCCAGGAAGCCACAAGGAGAGGCACAGCGGTAAGGGGCTATGCAGCAGCCCGCCAGCGGGGGTCCCATCTGAGTCGGTCCTTGCAGCTGTGCACAACACAACAACTACCCCCTGATACACACACACCCCTCACTCCCAGGCTGTCCATAGAGACAGGGTGAGGCAGGCAGTAGCCACACAGAATATACCCAAGCTACCCCCGGTGCGACCCCAAATGCCTCCTGCGGTGACCAACCATGACCCCTAGCCACGCACAGCCATGCCGGCAGAGGCACAGAACGGGCATCATGGCCGCAGACCAGACCCCCAAGTGCGCAGGGACATGGATCAGGGTCAGACACTCCCAGGCCCTAGTCCCGCAGCCACGCGAGAGCTCCTGGAAAACACGGAATTAAAGGATTCTTTAGGAAACCGCTTTTTTTCCCAATGGCCCAGGACATGCTCTGAAGCTTTCAAAGTCCCGTTGGACGGTGAATGGTCGGGTTACCTTGGTCACAGTTCACAGGCCTTGGAACACAGCCAAGGGCCCCACGGCCCGTGCTCACCCGACAGTGCCGCCACGGGTGGCATGGAAGCCAGGCCCTCTTAGCGCCACCACGTTCTGTGCGTGCTGCCCACCTCCAGGGGCACTAACTCTGTTGCTAGGGGTCTGCTGCACAGTGTGGGGTCATCCTGGGGGGTGGGCCAGGACCCCGTTAGGCACATACCCTGTAGGAAGCCACCCAAGGCTCTGGCGGCCCCGTGACACGACATTCCTAGCCTTCTGGGACACCACGGACCCACCCCTCCTCCGCTCCAAGCCTGCAGCCACTGGGGGGCGGGCAGCTGGGGCCAGCTGGGTCCTGTCGCTGGCAGGCGGGCTGAGCCAGCCATCCTTGGGGCTTTTCTCCCTCGCAGTCCCCCCCTCTGGGCCTGAGGGGTTTGCCCTTTGGCCCTGGCTGGCCCCAGTGTCCCCCGCCCTTCCTGTCTCCTGGGGGCAGAGGCCCTGCCCCCACCAGCTCCAGCCTGGCCGCTCCCCTCCCCCGCACCTAGCAACACCGAGAGGAAACTGCCTTGAAAGGACACGAGCCGGGGCCCCTCTCCTGAATCCCAGAATTCCACATTCCAGGACTCGATGGGGCCTGTTTTTTTCCTGGGGGGGAGCTGGAGCCAAGGAGAGAGACCCGTGCCAGCCATGGGGGCAGGTGTCTGGGACACGGGCAGGAGGAAGGGGGCTCCTAGGACTCAGAGGGGCCCAGCCATCGGGCTGCTGCTGCACCCCCCCGCCCGCCCCGGGCTGCCGTCCTCCCATCTGCCACCCTTCCCCCAGCCCCCAGATGTCCTGTCTTGGCGGTGCTGTCCCTGACTGCCACATGATGGCTCCAGGGCCCGCCAGCTGGGGCCTGGGGCTGCAGAGAGAGAGAGAGCCGCCTGGGACGAAGGCCAGGGAAGGAGGGAGACAGGGGACCTGACACTCCCCCCCTTCTCCTTAGGAGGCGGATATGCCTGACGAGGTAAACATTGATGAGCTGCTGGAACTGGACAGTGAGGAGGAGAGGAGCCGGAAGGTCCAGGTAGGTTGTGCGTGTGTGTGTGTGCGTGTGTGCGCGTGTGCCTGTGTGCGTGTGTGTGTGTGTGTGTGAAGCCCCCCCAGTCTGACACTTGGCACCCCCCTAAAAGCAGCAGCAACAGCAGTTTCCACATTCCCTGAACGCTTGCCAGGTGCCATACAGCAGCTCACCTGCCCAGTGCCAACTCTCCACCCCTCACCTCAGGGTGCAGGATCCTGCCCAGTGCCAACTCTCCACCCCTCACCTCAGGGTGCAGGATCCTGCCCAGTGCCAACTCTCCATCCCTCACCTCAGGGTGCAGGTTACTGTCTTCTGCAAAAGGAATGGGGGCGCAGAGAGGGCTGCCTGGGGTTGCTTGCCCGGGGTCACACAGCCCCAAGGACGGAGCCCTCAGGTCCTTGCTGTCCTGGAGCTGGAGAAGGCTGTGACCTTCTTGCCCTACCCCCACCCCCTAGGCCCCCAGACTGTTCCTCCCCTTGAAGCCTGGTGGCAGTCCACCCTGGAGTCTGACTTGCATTTGCCTTCTTGCCTTGGAAAGGGAAGGGGTGGAGAGGATTCAGTGTGAATTATTTACTGTGGTTTTTTTTTGGGGGGGGGGCGTGTTTAGGGACTCCTGAAATCGTGCACGAACCCCACAGAGGTGAGTCCCCCCATCAGAGGTGCCCCTGCCTCCCATGGACCGCTCCCCCACCGCCTGCTGGCGCCTTCTCCTATGCCCGGCTCTCCCCTCCTCCCTGCCCATCTGCTGCGGGGGCTCCATTATCTCTGCTCCCTCCCCCATCTGGCTCGGGTTTCTGTCTCCCTGCCTCCCTGCTGCCTGTCACTGCCCCCGCCACCCCAGGGGCCCCCAGTCTTACAGGTCCCGAAGCCCAGGCGCCTAACCCTCCCACTTCCTTCCCTGCTTTAAAAGGGAAAAATATTCGTGTTTCTCCATCGGGCTGCTGGGGTCCAGCGTCACTGGGTGTCCGGCTGCCCTGCAGCCGCCTCGGGCCCATGTCTCTGGGGACCCTCCTGGGTCTGACGTGGGCCGAGGCCCGGACTCCGTGTCCCTGGCTCTCTGTGTCTCTCTCCCTTGTCTGTCCCTTCTCCGTGTCTGCCCTTCCCTTGCTGCCCTGGAAGCAGAAGGGGCCCCCTTGACTCTTGGCGGGGTGTGTGGGGGTGCTAGAGTGGGCCCAGGGCAGAGCCCCCCACCCACATTCTTAGCACCCCACTCCCTGCCCTCAGGACTTCGTCCAAGAGCTGCTGACCAAGCTGCGAGGCCTCCACAAGCAGCCGGGTCTCCGCCAGCCCAGCCCCTCTGATGAAGGCAGCCCACGCCCCCTGCAGGACCGCGCGCCGACTGCGCCCCCCTGACCCCGGCCTGCCTCCGCCACCCCTCTGTGTCACCGCCACCCTGTTTCCAAAGTTGTACTCCATGGTTCTGTAACAATAACACCAAGTGGCTGTGTCTCCTCTCCCTGGTTACCGCCGGCTTCCCTGCCCCCCTCCTGCTGTGTCCCAGCCCCCACAGCTGGCCCTCCTCCCAGGCCTGAGAAGAGATCTGCAGTCCTGGGCCACTCGCTCACTTCCTGTCCCCTGGCCCCTGTGGGAATGACCCCCTGGGCCAGGACGACAACCCTGGCCCCAGGATGGCCCTTGTCACCTTCACACACACGTGGCCCCATAGATCCACTCCGTAGAGAGGCCTGGGCACTTTCTGGATGCTTGGCACAGCCAGAGGTGCAGGGACCACAAAGATGAACTGAAACAGCTCCTGGCAGCCAAGTGTCCTTCCTGGGTTGTGGGGGGTAGCGGCTGAATTCCAGATGATGGCTCTGTGCCCAGGTCAGAGGGGTGGTAGAAGTTAGGTGTGGTCTTCCAGGATGCATAGACGTGTGGGTGTGAAGGGACTACCTCGTGTGTAGGTGGGGGTTTGACACGGGGGCTGAGCAAGGGAGAACAGCAGATATTGGCGGGGCTGTCTGCCAATGAGGGTGGACAGCGTCAGCTCCTGCCCTTGCCCTGGCCCATGGGTGAGTCAGGACCCATGAGATTAAGCCTTTCCCCCTGGGTCTCCACACCCCCCACCCTCACCCCCTGCCACTCTGAAGATTCCCAGGGAGAGTGACTGGGCCCAGGGAACAGGTAGCGGCAGCTGTTCACTCAAGAAAAACAATGAAACTAGCTCCTCTGTATTCTGCCAGCAGACCTGGGTGACCCAGTTATGTGAAGTTGGGGGGGTGGGGCAGAGCTGTGGTCTCAATTCCAGTGTTCCAAAGTGAGGACCCTGTGGCCATCCTAGAACGCCCGGAGCATGGGTTCCCATTCCAGATGGTCCAACAGGAAGAGAAAGACAGGAGGGTCCGCAGTACCCTGGTGTGTGCCACCCGCAGGTGGCAGCACAGACCTCGGAGCCGGCCCTTCCCTGCCATGCGCTCCTAACGGGTGTGCAGGGGCACGCACTGGGATGCCCGTAGCAGCGGGCCTGTCCTGTCCTGGCCACACTCCCGGATCCAGCTGCCTGCTAACATGTACCCTGGGAGGTTCGTGCACCCTGGGAGGTTCGCGCCCTTCAACAGGGAAGACCTGTCTGGGGTTGTCAGCTCCTGACTTGTGCTCCACGCCCCACCAGCTGGGTGAGCCTGTGGGATGTGAACCAGCGGATAGATATATCTCTCCTCTCTGCCTTCCAAACAAATAAAGTTTGTGGAAATATGGAATTAAAAGATAAGGGTTTGTGTGTATGTGGCGCGTGTGCAAAAATTATACAGGGGGAGACAGTGTGGTGCGGTGGTTAGATTTCTGCTTGGAGTACTTGGAGTACCTCCCGTATCAGAGTACCTGGTTCGAGTCCCGGCGGCTCCACTCTCCATCCAGCTTCTTGATCACGTGGCTGGGGAAGCAGCAGAAGGTAGCCCAAGATCTTGGGTCCCCACAGCCACACGGGTGACCCAGAGTTCTAGACTCTAGATTTTGGCCTGGCCCAGCCCTGAGTGTTGCAGTCATTTGGGGAGTGAGCCAGTGGGTGAAAAATCTCTGTGGCTCTGCCTTTTAATAAGTGAATACAGTAACTTTAAAGGTTTTTTATTATTATTTTTTTTTTTATTGGAAAGGTGGATATACAGAGAGGAGAGACAGAGAGGAAGATCTTCCGTCCGATGATTCACTCCCCAAGTGAGCCGCAACGGGCCGATACTATGCCGATCCGAAGCCAGGAGCCTCTTCTGGGTCTCCCACGCGGGTGCAGGGTCCCAAAGCCTTGGGCCGTCCTTGACTGCTTTCCCAGGCCACAGGCAGGGAGCTGGAAGGGAAGCGGGGCTGCCAGGACCAGAACCGGTCCCATAGGGGATCCCGGGTGTGCAAGGCGAGGGCTTTAACCACTTGCGCCACCGCGCCGGGCCCGTTTTTTTTTTTTTTTTAATGCAGCTTTTCATTAAGTGCCTTTACATGAACTTTGCAGACCACCACATGCAATGAGCGCAGTGAATGAAGGATCCGCCCCCCGCTGGCACATTCACACACACCCACAGCTCTGACACCCCACCAGCCGGGGAACCCCTGCACTGCCCTCCCACAGGGTCTGGTTCCCGTTCCTTGTCCCTGTGGGAGCAGCATCAGGCTCACGGCCCAGGGTCTTAGGCTGTGAATGTTTCGTGTGCGGGGTCCCTCCGTGGGCCTTTGAATCCCAGCTGCTCCACTTCCCACCCAGCTCCCCGCTTGTGGGCTGGGAAAGCAGCAGAGGACGGCCCAAGACCTGGGACCCTGCACCTGCATGAAGAAGCTCCTAGCTCTTGGCTTCAGACTAGCCCAGTACTGCTCATTGTGGTCATTTGGGGAGTGAATCAGTGGCTAGAGGGTCTTTCTCTTTTTTTTTTTTTCTCTGTAACTCTTTCAAATTAAATTAATTTTGGAGAAGAAATTTAAAAAGACTGCTTGGGAAGAGCACGTTCCATTTTCAAGTGTCTGGACTGGAGCCCTGGCTCACTTCCGAGTCCCACTTCCTGCTGTCACACGCCCTGTGGCTCAAGGACTTGGGTCCCTGCCACCCACGCTGAGGACCTGCCACAGATCTGGGTTCCAGCCTTGAACCTGGCGTGGCTCTCGCTATGGTGGGCGTTTGGCTTGAGACCCAGCAGATGACAAACGTCTCTGACTGCCTTTCAAGCAACCACACAAAAATGTCCCCTGGGAGGCCAGCGGCACAGGCCTGCGATGTCCCGTTTCCAGCTCACTACTTCCTCCTCCCCCCAGCAGCCACCATTCCAGCTCGTCTTCCTTGTGTCCCTGGAGGCCCTGGGCCCTTCAGGGGTGTCCCCCAGGCCCGGCCCCTAGCTGCGGGCAGTCACAGTGCCCCCACAACACGCCTGGGGCTCACCACGTGGCAGCCGCCTCCCCCAAAGGACCCTCGGTTTTCCCTCTGCACTTGGAGAAGTTCGGCCCCCTCGCCAAGCCTCCACCCTCGCTGCGTGGACGCCAGCCCGCCGCGCCCCCTGGTGGCCGTGGGAGTTCGTTGCAAAAGGCAGCCAGGGCGGAGTGCAGGGCTGGGGTGGGTCAGGAACTCCTTCCCCGAGGGGCTAGCAGGTGCTGAGTGGCCATAACCAGCTCCGGGCAGAACTGGACTCAGCAGTGAAGCCGCCGCAGGCTGGAGTCACAGTGCAAAGGTTCCGTGCCCACGTCTGCTCCCTAGTCCAGCTCCCTGCTCGGGTGTACCCTGAGGGGGCAGCAGGGGGATGGCCCAAGGGGCTGGATCCCAGCCACCCTCCTGGGAGACCTGGACAGAAGCCACGCATCTGGGCTACAGCCTCTGCGGAGTGAACTAGCAGGTGGAAGCTATGGCCTCGGTAGGACATTGCATCAGGCAATCAAGATTTCTTTTGAAGCTTTATTTATTTGAAAGAGTTGCACAGAGAGGGGAGAGACAGAGAAAGATCTTCCATCTGCTGGTTCACTCACTAAAATGACCGCAATGGCTCCCTGCAAGGAACTGGATCAGAAGTGGAGCAGCTGAAACTCGAACCAGTGCCCTTTGGGATTCCAGCATTGCAGGTGGAAGATCCTTACACCACAGCCTCAGCTATAAGTTTTCTTTCTCTCTATGATTTTTATTGGAAAGGCAGGTTTATGGAGAAACAGAGAAAGATCTCCCATCCACTATTCCACTCCCCAAGGGGTCTCAATGGTTGCACTGAGTCAATCCAAAGCCAGGCGCCAGCAGTTTCTGGGTCTCCCACGTGGGTGCAGGATCCCAAGGCTTTGGGCCATCCTTGACTGCTTTCCCAGGCCACAAGCAGGGAGCTGGATGGGAAATGGAGCTGCCAGGATATGAACTGTTACATAGCCATAGCCCATATGGGATCCGGGTACATATAAGGTGAGGATTTAGCCACTAAGCCATTGCTCCAAGCCCCACACCATTTTATCTTAAAACAGATGTATTCAAGAGAATGTGGGAACAATTGTCTTACCCACTTTCCTCTAGCCCTTGACCCTAATCAAATATGTACAAATTATCAAAAATAAAATTTATACAATTTTTAAAAATAAAATAAAAAATAAGCAAAAAGGAAAGAACAAACGTGACAACTACCCCAGCCAAATGATGACAGCAGAAATTTTCAGTGACTGCAGACTTGAGGTTGACTATGGCAGCCAGTGGACATGGCGGGCTGCGGCGTCCTTGGATTGGCGATACGGACAGCATTTCAGAACTAGCCAAGCCACTTGGGCAGAACCCTTAGAATATACACACTGGCACCCTGGGTTGATATGAGGGGGCAGTTCCTCATCCCTGGGTACTGGGACATTTGGAAAGTCATGTGTGGTTCCCCCCTTTGTCTCTCCCCTTCCCCCAGAAACAACAAGAAGAAATAGCACATTCGGAAACAAATCAGTTCACCCAATTTTCCCTAAACCTCAGTCCTTCCCATCCTGACCAACCATGTAATCATTATTTAAAAAACAACAACAACAACAACAACAACAAAGGCTGTGTTTTGGCACCAGCGCAATGGGATAGTAGGCTGAGTCTCTGCCTTCAGTGTTTCCATCCCATCTAAGAGCCGGTTCTAGTCCCAGCTTTTCCTCTTCTGGTCCAGCTCACTGTTTATGGCCTGGGAAAGCAGCAGAGGAAGGCCCAAGACCTCAAACCCCCTGCACCCTCGAGGGAAACTTCGGGGAAACGCCTGGGTTCTGGTTTTGATCTGGCCCAGCCCTTAGTCCTTGCAGCCATTTGGGCTGTGAACCAGCTGATGGAAGAATTTTCTCTCCTTTAATTCTGCCTTTCAAATAAATAAATAAATACATTGTCAAGAAAAAAAGAAGAGGAGCCAGGCATGGTAGCCTAGTGGCTAAATCCTCACCTTGTATATGCTGGG